AAAATAATAGACATTATTCTGCAAATCTGGATATGAATCTACTTAGGGTAACTATTCTTCTAGTTAGCTTTTGTACGTCTTTCACTGAGGTTGGTGCTTTCATATCCAAGATTGCCTTAACTTTTTCTAGATTTACCTTTATCTTTTTTTTATTGATCATATAATCAAAAAATTTGCCTGATGTAACTCCAAAGGCGTACTTGCTCGAGTTGAGCTTCATGTGTATTTTCTCAAAAAGTCAAAAGTCTCTCCAAGATCATCTCGACAAAGCTTTTATTTTTTATTATCATGTCATCTATATATACTTCCATGTTACGATCTATCTGATTTTTAAAGATCTTGTTGACCAACCTTTGATAATTCGTTCTTATATTTTTCAGGCTAAAAGGCATCACCTTATAGCAATAAAAGCCCTTCTTAATAATGAAAGCTATTTTTTCCTCATCTTTCTTCATTAACTTGATTTGGTTATAGCCAGAGTAGGCATCATAAAGCTGAGAAGACCATCTTGATATTATCATTCACTAGCTAGTCTATGCTAAGGAAAGGAAAATCATCTTTTGGGCATACTTTATTAGTTGGTAAAATCAACACACATTCTTTATTTTTTGCTATGTTTTTTTATTATGACCACATTGGTTATCCATTCAAGGTAGCAAACTTCCTTAATGAAGCCCACTTGTAATAATTGTTGACCTTTTCCTTGATAACCTTCTATTTTTTAAGGTAAAGTTATTTTTCTTTTATTAAATTGGTTTCATATGTGGTCTAGTATGCAACCTATGGACCATCAGCTCAATATCAATCTTGGGCATGCCAGACGATATCATGCAAATAGGCTGATATTTTTTTTAAATAACCAAATTAATTATTCTTTATGTTCGAGTTTAGTTCTAATCTACATGTGTCTTTTTGGAATATTTTTCCAAAACGGTATAGATCACAAAATCCCTCTATTAGCTCAGGTTAATTTTTATTTGGGTCAATCTTTGGTCAATTATTTCTTTCTGTCAGTTAGGTCAAGGCCATTTCCTACGAAGACAGATCCCAATGTGACAATCAAGTATATTATTGATAAGTGATCAAAACTTATGCTGAATAGAATGTATTCCTCATTTTAATTTTTATTTTTGGGTCAACATACTAGCTTGGTCCAAATGACATGTAATGTTTTCTCCAGCTTAAGAAGCTCAATCACCTTCAAAATCATTTCAAAAGTTCAAAAAATGAACAAAATATGTATAATTCTATTGGAGCTATTGAAGCTTAAGAGCTTAGAGTGACTTAGTAGCATGCTTTTGTCAAGTCGATCATATGTTATAGGTTTTTACTTTTGTTTTCTTACTTTTCTTTTGCTTATTTTGCTTGCCTTTCTTCTTTAGCATTTTTGGTCTCAGCCAGGCTACCTATCTATTTCAAGTTTTCCTTTTCATTATCGTGACATAACACTTTCACACCATGGACTAGTTTTTCCTTACCTTTTTCAGCCCCCTAAAGTGTGTTGAGGAACTGAGCCTATAAGCCACATAACAGATTGGCTAGCTCGACTCAATATCATATTGTGAACAGATAGGACATCTACTACCATAAATTCTATGACCGACGTGACTATCCTTGGTTTCGGTTTCCAAAGAAATCAATAGTTTAATAGTCTCTTTCACTAGCACTTATTTGTTTCCAAATCTTACCAAGGTTGTGATAATTGGTTGTAATTGATCTTCCTTAATACCCATTTTCTTCATGGTGGCATAATACATAATATCTATCAAACTTTCGTTATCAAATAGGATCTTCTTGACTATATAATTATATACCATGGTTGTGGTTACTATGCATCATCATGGGCATGTTAGATTCCTTCTAAATCTTTTAAGCCAAATGAGATTGACTCATCTTTCTAATCTTTTTTTTTGTTGAAAAGCCAATTTTCATGATCGTACATGGGTTGGACTTTTTTTTGGTCGAGGTTGAGCTCTCCCCAGTAATCACATTAATCATTTCAACAATCGACCTATTAGTGTCAGGTTGGCCTTTTTCTTGTCTTTGCTCATCTCCTTGAACTTTTCTTCTTCTATTTTCCTTTGGCCTTCCTTTTCTATCCTTTGTGGGCTCTTTTTAGTCTTATCTATAATCTGATCTATTTTTACCATTATTTTTCTTGGTCTACAAACCTCTTCAGTTGACCTCTTCTGATTAAACTTAATCTTATTTTTGAGGTCAACACAGTTCTTGGTGTGGTGGCCTATGTCCTTATGAAGGTACATCTTTTGATCAGATCCTCTTCGTATTCTACCTTAGTGGCTTCAACCATTTGAGTTTTTGATTTTTCTCGATGTACATCAGAATTCTCTCTTAAAAAGTATTCAGTACAATATAATTTTTTTCACTAGGGCTTCCAAGCCCTATGTCATCTCCCTCTTGAGGAAAGATCATAAAAATCTTTATCTTTCTTATGATCAATGAGAGAGGATGAGCTTCTCTCACCTTGAGCACTGAAGATAAGGGATAAGTCTCTCTCACTTTAAATGTCAAGAAAAATGGATGAGCCTATCACTTTGGTTGCTTCTCATTGTAGTTTTAGCATTTATATATTTTTAGCTACAAGAAGACATCAGCCAAAGTCTTAAGTGGCTCTAAAGATAAGGTTAGCTTTAGGTGATACTTTTCGTTATTGAGTTCATTTGTCAGGGTGACTACAGCGGCCATTTATTTCAGGTCTTTTACCTATAGAGCTTATGCATTAAAACGCGTGACATAATCTTTTAGGGATTCATTATGACCTTGGTGGATCAACATCAAGTTTAAAGTCATCTCCTTCAATCTTTGATTGCTTATAAATTAAGACAGAAAAGAATAGCTAAGCTCTTTAAATATTGTGATTGACCTCGATTTTAACTACTATACCAAGATCGAGTTGTGCCCTTGAGAGTGATAACAAAGCTCTTACACATCAAAGTTTTATCTGTACCTTACTTCATCATGTTAGTTTTATAAAGTTTCAAGTGATCGAAGAGATCAAAAGTACCATTAAGTTTTTAAGGTTAGAATTTTAAACTTTTTGGGAGGCATTACTCTGTCGATTTCTTCAATGAAGGGTGAGGTCTCCAAAAATTTGAGATCGTCTTCAAAGGCCACTACCTTCACCTTTAGTTTTTTTTCCATAACTTGAATCCAAGCTTCTAACTCTTTGTTTGGCTAGGGTTTTGGGTTAGTTTGTTTTGATTTTTGGGTTTTGTCATGTGTTAAGTTATGACTAGGGTGATGGTGAGCGAGAGTGTCGAGCTTTTCTTCTTTAGAAGTCGACGAAGCTTCCACTTTTTCATAGGTCAATTGTCTTTCCATAACTTTTCGACTTACAGTAACTAGGTTGGGAACCTTTGAGGCTTGGGGTGGCGTTATAGTCTGTAACATCTATTTAAGAGCTTGTATCTACTCGGTAAAGGCCTAGAATTACTCTATGGTCAGACCTACTTGTTGTGAGGCATGTTAGTCCAAATGCTGGCTATTATGTCTCTGTTTAGGTCAGAGCAGCCATATTTCCTTCCTTCAAAGTTCTCTTCATAGGTGACATTATTTCATGTTCAACTAATGAATGGAAAAGTCCCTTACCTGGCATGCCAAATGTTTGTGTCGAGCTTTAATGTGAGAATATTCCTAAAAAATAAAAAATGGGAAGAGTATAATCATACGCAAAGGCAATGAGTATTCTTTGTGTTTGCACTCTGACGCACAAGTTAGAAATCAAGGTGAAAAAGCTCAGAATGAGAGAAGAAAAAGAGTTAAGGCAATATGAAAGAACCTACTATAATATTGCCTAGATGCTCATATTTATAGATAAAAGGTAGTAGGTCAATAGGGGATAATAATGACGCGACCGAGTTGATATGGCACTGAGTGTGTCATGTCAAATCGGCATAAATGTTCGGAATGCCCTTGGTTGTCTACTAGTGGCCCCTAATGAAGAAAAAAGCTAGTATGCCTTTTAAACCACTAAATGCCCCCAATAGTTTCGTTGCAATTCCTTAAGGTTTTACTTGCATTTTAACTAATAAGTCCATTATGGTAATTGGTTTTCTTTTTGATGTTTCAATCTTCTTTTAGTTCTATTTAAATTGTTTCTAGCCCCTTAACTTTGCATTTTTTGTCATTTTATTAAGTCTTGTTATTGTTGTTTAAAAGTCTTTTATCTTAGGTCTAATGTTCAAGTTCAATCCTAGATAGTGCCTTGAATGAGAAAAAGGCTATGCTTAGGGATGGTGATGGTGGGTTTTCTTAGTCAAGAATTATGATTGGGGGTAGGTTAAACTTTGAAGCAAATTGTCAAATCCTAATAAGGCCATAGGAGAGGTTGGGAGGCTGGATGCGTATAAAGAGGGACTGTGGGTGGGATTTTTTTTTTTTGTGAAACTTCTCTTAGTTTAGGGAAAAAAATATTAATGGTAGAAAATTTTAGAAATATTTATAGGAGGAAAATTTTAAGAGTAAAATTTTATGAGAGGGAAGTTTAAAATTGAACAATTTTAAGAATTAATATGATATAGAAAGAGAAATTTTAGAGAAAATTATTTGATGAAAATTGAAGGGGTAAATTTTTTGTGTAACTTACATGAAAATAATTAAAGTTAAAATATTAATTTATTATTTATTAATTTATGATTTTGTATTTAAATTTGATACTAAATCAAATATGAATATTTTATCGTAATTTAAAAAAACTTATGAATAATTTTTTTCTCAAGTAAATATTTAAAAGACATGAGGTGCCATAAACCACTTTAAAAATTATAAAATTATAATAAATTTGTGATTTTAGTTATAATTATAATTATAATTTTTTATAATAAATTATGTAAAATTAAAAAATTCCAAATCATGGTGATCACAATGATTTTGATGATTTTTATTTTGTCTGCAACTACAAAAAAACATGACACAACTAAAAATACAACCGTAATTTAAATAGCTGAATATAAATACTTGGAAGGAGAGTTGGTCCATTTATGATCAAAGTGGATGGTGGCGTTAGGAAACCACTCCCAACAATTGGTATTTCATACTTTGAGATTTTATGTCCATAACAATAGCTTGTTTGCTTTTGAAAATTCAGGGTACCCTGCCCTATTTATAAAAGTTCGGTACTTAAAACTTGATTTATATTATTTTCAAATAAGTTACTTTACTTGATACATGGTTGTTCCAAATTTCCAATTTTGTTACCATAAAAATTTAGAGTATTACAACATAGCTTCCCTTCTACATTTTATTCTTGGCCTTGAACTCCATAATTTATATCGAGCTGACGAGAACATCATCTGAATACGATCTGATCGTGGCTGCATTCACTGCGCGGCAATTCGTTCTGATTTCTCCGGCCGTACCAGTTAACAGGCTGATATTTCCCATTCTGATCATAGATTCCACAAAGCTTTCAAAGAAGGCTGTTTGATTAGCAGCAAACCTGTTGACGATTTCAATGGTATCAGCACCTTCAGTCGAAAACAGCTGTTGATCACTTCGAAGCAGGCCTCGATTAACTTGCAGATTGGTGAAGTAGTTACTGTCAAAAGCATCAGGTGTTGTGGGATCAAGATCTGTCAAAACACTACCATTTCCACCTTGAGGGCATATTTGGCTTAGTGCCTCCAAGTATGTGGTATTCAGGGTTGGATCTGTGTCTCCCTCGCCGGTAAAATTGTACAATCGACTTGTAAAAGTAAAACACTGGGCACGGCCAAAAGTGTGAGCACCTGAAAAAAAAAAAATGATTGCCATGTCAGAGTAAAAAAAAAAAAAAAGAAAGAAAGAAAGGAAAAGTTGCTTGATCCTGTGCAACTTAACCACATTTCTTTAGTTGATTCCTAAAGCTATATTTTAACTGCATGTTTGATTCGCATAAAAGAATAGAGGACAAATAAAATTGAATACTATAAGTAGAAAATATTGTGAATAAAATAGGATATATATTATGAAGTTTGATCAAAGAAAAATTAATATTAACATATTTGATTTGTTCAAAAAATATAATTGGAATAAGTTTAAAAAATTATTTTATCTTTATAATTTATTATAAAAATTATTAAATAATAAATAATAATTTAACAAAATATTAATTAATATTAATCTAATAATATTAAATATTATTTAATTATAATATTATTTAATTAATTTTAATTAATATTAATATTGATTAGTATTAAAATTAATTAATTAAATTATTATTAAATATTATAATTAATATTATTTACTTAAAATAATAATGAGTTATTTAATTAATTATAATATTTTAATAAAAATTTTTATTTTTTTTATTTTTTTCTTTGTTTCTCTTTCATCTTTCCCTCTTCCTTTTTCTCTCTCTATCCCCCCCATTCCCCAATATCTGCCTCCTTTTCCTCTCTAAAAAATCAGAGTTCCTTTCTCTAAAATTTCACCACCTTCCTTTGCCACCGTCAATCGGCATCGACGTTGCCAACTGCCATTGACCACGTTGACTAGCGTCGATTTCACCCAAAATTTTATATTTTTGTTCCTTTCAACATCTTCTTTCCGTTTTCTAAGTTGATTTTTTTTCAAAAAATACTTAAGAAAACCTAAATCTAACTTCAAAAACCTAAATTTCCACCGCCTATCACAAGCAGTTTTGACCTTCGATGACCTGTATTCGACCATCAAAACAATCCTTGTTGTTCCTTCGATATTTCTTAGTTGCTCAGCCACCACTATTGGTCGCCATACCCACCACCGTCCACTAAGGTCTTTTTTTTCTTTTGCTTTTTTTTTTGTTGCATTTTGTTTTACTTTGTGTTTCTGTTCAACTAATAGTGAGGATCGGTTTGACTTCTATGTGGCCAGTGGATGGGGGTACCATCGTTTCTGGCTTCCTATGAAATTTTTGGCATCGGAGATGGTGCTTGCAATTATTCTGGTTTTTTCTCTCTGTTTGCATTGGGATAAGATTGTAATTGAGTAAAATGGTTGAAGGTAAAATGGTCCACAAATTATTAGCTCTATTCCTGGTTGTCTCGGAATAGCCATTCCTAGGGTGGAGCTTGGAATGACAATTCTTTGTTGTCTAGGAATAACTGATAATGTGAAATTAATATTTTGACAAAAAAAAAAAAAACTTTGGAACATCCACGCCACTCAGAAGATGGCCTGAGTGGAAAGGCTATTACAGCCAACCAAACACGCCGAAAATCTTTAATGCTCATTGCTCAGTAACAAAATTTCAAGCAAGCAAAGAATGATTACCAGACAACGCTACTACATCAGTGCTGGTGTCAAGCCCCACTGCCGTAAACTTGGATTTGATTGCTTCAAGGGATTCATTGAAACCTGGCAAGTTTGAGTTGGCGAGTGTCCGATTTGCTGTTAAGCCATCCCTTCTTCCTAATGGAACTGCCCATGAAGGGCCTCCTGCCTACAGCAATAAGCTAATTTTGGTCGATGTTGGTTAAAGACATAAAAAGGAAAAAACAAGTGTGTTGCTAAATTACCAGGCATACAGATTCTTCAGATGCAATGGCGAGAATATCAGCGCAGGAAACTGTGTTGGGGCAAGCACTCTCCAAGACAGCCTTCATGGCATCAACAACTTCATAACCTCTTGCTGAATTATTATTTGGAAGAGCTTCTTTCTCACCGTTCGCAGGATCGTCCAACAAAATGGATGCATCACATCCCTGAAATAGGGTTTAAGACTTAAAAGGGGAAAAGAAGGATCTGATGACCTCAAATTTCAAAAGAAGCAACAAAATATGTATGAGTACTGGTTTTAGTGATTTCCAAGAAAAAAAAAAAAAACAAAAAGCCTCTTTGTTTAATCACGTTACTTTACTTTTCATGATAGGAAATTTGCAATTAAGCAAAAATAAAATGATGTGAAAGAGGGCTTTAGATGTTACTTGAACAAAGCAATCATGGAAGTGAAGCCTGATAAGACTGGCACCAATCCTAGGGTCTGACAGTGAAGCGTTCATAAGGACATCTCTGATGATGTTTGTCACATTTGGACATGTTTCATCGTAAAATGTTGGACTCAGTTGGGCATTTGATAATGATCCCTGAAGTAAAACTGCAAAGAAAAGAGCAGCTACTATATATTTAGAACAAGGCATTTTCTCAGACATTCCACGAAAGAATGACTCCTAAATGACCTTCAGTTTTGACGAATGCTTGATTGATATAGAGAGTGATTTGGGACTCTTAAATGCTCTTTATTTATAGAAGGACAAAGTGGCTTGGCAGCTTCTACACGACACCAGGTTTTAATCTTTGAAAAGTCTAGTTAATAAAATTTACCATAAAGATTGCATATTTATATGGTGTTGATGGACATAAAGTAAGCCCCTTTGAAATATCAAATATCTACCATATTATTGTCGGTTAGCAAGTAATTTCCTTGCTTTTTTAAGAAATGAATTCTCCCACAGGATTTATGAAGATCACGGTTTCACGTACACTGAAAAGAAAATGAGATTTTGTTTCCTAACTATCATTGCCCTTAACTTCAAACATGTGGACTTTCAATGCATTGTTATGATTGAAAGTGCGCTCCGGTTTGAATCTAAAATCCAAAAATTCATTAACTTTATTATATATATATATATATTATTGGATCCATTCTCACTACAATTTCTCTTTCTTTTTTCTTATATTATTGAATGTTTGGTATCAAATACTATCTTTTACATTTCATCTCTATTTTAACTTTTTTATATTTATATATGCAATCTTGGTATATAATTTGATAAGAGCTATTTATCATTTTTGAAAGGGGTGTTTGTTTACCTATTTATGGACCAACTTGTTTAAATAGTATATTATTATTTTGTATATTTTACAAAGTTCAGTAAAAAAAATTAAGTTTAAGGAAAAAATATATTTAAAAAATAATTCATGATGTATTTTTCCATCTTATAAATATTATCTTAGTTTATTTTTCGTCAAATTTTTTAACTTTAACTTTAATTGTTCTAAATATTTAATTAAATTAAGCTTTAATAAATATATATATGTGAATTTATTTTATTTAAATTTTAAAAGAGATTTTTACTTTTAATTAATAAAAAATTATGAATAAATAATGGTTATACTAAAAAAATGAAACTCAAACATTAATAATGCGACATAGTGAATAATATTTTCGTATCCACATTCAGTTATAATTTTTCTTTTTGTTGTAAAATTTAGTTTACCTTTAATGATGACAAAATACTTGTCAATTTTAATTAATCTTTCAACTCTACTTGTGTTATGCTTTTTTGTCCACACCTATAGATTATTTCTTTTTAAGAAATATTTTTTCTAGCTAAGAAAAAATATTCAACAAAAATTATATATGTGCTATATTTTTTATAAATCTAAAATTTTTAGTCTTTAAAGTAATTGAGATAAATTTGATAGTAAAATTTTTATATTTAACTTTAAAATAATAGTAATAAGGATATGGCATAAAAGAGAATTAACCAAGTTTTTGAACTTATTTGTATGAAGGGTATTTTAGTCCTTGCAAGATTTAGTGTCAAAACTAACTACTTTTAACACTTAACTACAATTATTCCCCAAATCAAATTTATTATGCCATCTTAGTTGTCTTAAAAAATTAGGGACAAACTCAGAATTTATACTTAATAGGGCAAATTCTTTAGTAATGTATATTTATACTATTTTATTTAAAATTATTACAATTTAAAATAAATTTCATTAACATATAATATCAAATGCTTCTAAAAATACAAAGTAATAAAAGATCTGTATAAAAATTTAAAAAGTATAAAAAATCAATTTTATATTAAAAAAATTCCTACAAGAATTTTTTTTGACATTTTTTCATATATAGTTTTAGAAATAATTTTTATCCAAAGTTCCAAAAAAAAAAAATACCATCCAAGTTCCCTTTTGGTATGTCGTAATTAAATAAATTAACTCTATAAGCAATATGTCACATAACTTCAAATAATATTAAATCTTTATATCATATTATCAAAATTAATCTAAATTTAAGAATTTAAACTAAAAATTCAGATAAGGCTTTCTTTATCAAATTAAGATGAAAAAAAATGTATGTTTAGTTTTTTTTTTTTTTTTTTTGTAAAAATCTTAGTTCAGTATTTACACTAAATGAAATTACATTTCCTTTTCAAAGTTTGTTTTTTAAATTTGTTGTTTGATTCCAAACAAATAAGTCTCTTTCCTTTCCATTATAATTTTTTTCTTTTATATTCTTCTTAACTTTTAAAAGGTTTTTTGGAGTTAATTTCAACTAATGTCAAAAGAAGTTATTATATTAGCTACCATAATAATTTTATCTTTACATTATGCACTATTACTTTACACAATTACTTTTTTATTTTGTTAATGCGTCCATATACCTTTCAATATTATAAAATATCTATATTTAATTGTTTCTTTTACAATTTAGTAGGAGAGAAACCAAAAAGTTAAACCCTTCTAATTATTTTTAAATACAATAATGATGTGTACACTAAATTGGAAATTGAAAAGTCGGGGATAACTTTTATATATGTTATAGATACTTATTTTTTATATTTTTGAGTGGGTAAAATACAAGTTTCATTAAAATTTTTGGATATCTTACTAATGGTAAAATTTAATATTCAAGATTCTAGTGGGGGCAACTGCCCCGCTGCTGCCGTCCTGAATCCGTCCTTATTAAAAATAATGCCTAATAATGTTAAATTGGGAAATGTCATTGAATGGGACAAAAATAATAGGATACGATCATATTTAATTCATAAGATTATTGATAGAATATGATAATAATTATCGTATATCATGTTTGATTTGCATCTAAAGAGAGGGATAATGATTGCAAGGAGGATTAATATCTTCTTGGTATAAGATTATTCAATCTACTCCAAGTGGAGAAGATTTTTTTTAATTCATGAGATTAAATTTATATATCCAATTATATCCCTTAAAAATTACATCAATAATTTAATTGTACAAATTTAAAAAAAGATAATTTTGACAAATAAATAAATTATCCTATCATAATCCTTATATACATAAAATACAAAATAAGATAATATTATTTAATTTAATCCTATTCATAATATTATCTTATCCCATCTTATTATAATTTTGTATACCAAACACGACTTATATATGTTATTGTTGATTAGGTTAATAATATTTTTAACATGCAAATGATAGTAAAATATATAAATTGGTACTTAAAAATAATATAATTTTACATTGTAAAATATTCAAATAATATATTATGTTAGTTCAAACTCTAACATCTTTTACTCAACTCACATATATGTTATCTAATCATATAATTGTGTTGTACACATGTCATTTGTTAGATAAAATGTTAAATATTTTATAAATTTTCACTTGGATATCATTGTACATTTTGCACTGCACATACTAATTGATCGATCTTGGACATGATTTTGTACCTACGAGATGAAAAAATATCTTTTTTTAATTAGTATTTAAAAGGATATTGATATAATTTTGTGTAATGTACACATAATTTGATAATATTGATCAAATATTATATATATGGCTGATTAGATTAATGATTTTAGAGTTTGATATTTTATATATGGCTAATTGAGTTAACATACGATACATAACTTAAAAGTTCAAAATTTAAGTGAATATTTGGTCTAACTTATAAAAGAGTTTATTTATTATAAAAATAGAAGCCATATGTTTAACTCTCACAATTTTCTAAATTTTAGTTTATGAGGAAATAGATTTTAGTTTTTAAACAAAATTATAAATCAAAGGCCTATTTAAGAAGTGCTAAATTTAGAAACAAGTATTTAATAAAATTTTTTTACATTCTCACTTTACCCTTTGATAATTCACAAAATTATAAGAAGGGTTATATTTTTCATATTTCATTGTTTTTATTATCATTAATAAACATATGTTTTTAATTTATTTACTTTTACCTGAAATTTATGATTTAATTTAACAAAGATTACTATTTTATTTTTTATTTATTAAAAATATACAAAATATTATCAAATAATTTTTTTCAACATTCTACAACACTTCTATATTAAGTTTGCCGAACGCTATTTTAACCTTTTTTTTTTTTTACAACAATTTTAAAATAGCTCTATTCCAACAACACTTTTTTTAAAAGCTTTAGTCAAATCACACTAACTCTATCAAATTACACATTATTTTTTATGTAACAATACATATATTTTATCAAAGTTTAAGTATCAAATTGTAATTAATACTTTATCAATATTGAAAGATGGGAATGGGTAAGATTTATGTGGGATGCTACTATTGTGTAACCCAAAAGCATATACACGTTTATTAGAAAAAAAAAGTCCACTTTAGCTTCCGCATTCATCAAATTGTAATAGAAAAGATTATATACACGTAACAACTTTCACAAATTTCATGCATATACGTAAAAATTTAAAAACAAAAGGACTAAATTGAAAAATAAATGTAGATGTGCATCATTTTTATTTTTTTTTGAAAAGGAATAAGGAATTGTATAGAAAAATGAGTATAAAGAAAACACAATTTAGCAAACCAAACACAGAAATATGAAGAACAATAGCTAAAATTAAGTTGATTTTGTTTGAGATCTATGGGTTTCCGAATTTAACTTAATTATCAGCAATGGGCTTTTGCTCTCTTGGAGTATGTTATGTGCAATATTGTTGTGTAGGAAATATGCTTGTGTAGCATTGTCCAATTTGCAACTTGTTTAAAGCTGAAAGAATCGTTTAGTTAAGTTCATAAATGTTTGTATATTGTACACATTAGTTAGTTGTAAGGCTAAAATATAAAATAAGTCTCTGTAATTAATTAAAATTTATTATATGATTCATAATTACTTATTTATTGAGCTTTTATTTAAATAAAAATTTTAGTACCTCTAACTCTTTCAAATAGTTGGGAAAGAATTATCATGTGGCGCAAATGAATAAATATTATCATGAGGCTTTTCTGGGGCATGTTTCAAAATAAAAAAAAAAATATTTTTTTTGAGCATGTGTCAAAAATAAAAAATATATTTTTAATCTTGAGACATGCCTAGATAATGCCATGTTGAGATATTTATTTTATATCATTTTCCTCCAAGGAAATTTAGCAAATTTATTTCAATTAACAAAGAAATATTAATGATGTTAAAATTCTT